TATTATGTATTAAATATTTAAAGGTGACAATAGAATAATCAAAATATTAATAATATGTCTGTCATCTGAATTTTTTATATCGGTCTCTTTGAATCTTTTAGAATATATCAAATATATACTTTTTTATGAAGCAAATATCGTTTATCTTTAAAGAAACACGCTTATCATTGATTGATATTACTCGTTATTTATTGATTTTATTTAGAAAGTCAATAAGTAAGAAATTCAAGTGAGAAATTCACCAGTTGCTCCGAGTGACTGGTGAAGTAGCTCTCTGTTAGGAATTCACGCGATTCTACATTCATCCTTCTCTTTCTTTTTTTTTCCGTCACACTTTGTCTGTTTCTTCTCAAAAGCTCTTTTTTCAGCAAGTTGTCGCGCGACACGAAGCTTTTTGTAAACACATAAGCATTTCACAGCGAACTTTTCACTTCGTTGAGTTGAAGGGTCGTTATTCTTTCCTTCTGTCTCCTTCTTTATTTATTTTCTCTCTCTCTCTTGTTCTCTTAAAAGAAACGGATCATGATGACCCAGACCAGTAGTAACGGGAGAGGGGAAAAAAGTGCTTGACGATAAAAACTGCACTGGACAAATAGTGCCGTCATAAGCACGCGACGATCTCCCATGGCGTATTACGAGTGCGTCGGGCGATTTTACAATACGCCATAAACATGGAAGTTTGGTCGCAAGTATCCCAATGCTGCGTATTTTCATTAGCTGGCATTTTAATGTTTGTACGAAAACTATACAACGTATAAAACCATCGCAACTTTCTTGTTCACTTGGATATATAATAGAATATTCTGGAACTTTCCCAAATTGCAGATGTTACACGGCTAAAAGGACGATGTCCACAATTTGCAAAATGTGCTCGTTTCAGACTCGTTGTTTTCCTTTCGTTTCTTTGTGTTATGTGAATTATGTTACACAAGAAGAGGTACAAAATTTTTTGCTTCAATTATTTAATAAAGGTATTATCCTGTCGGTAATTCGCGTATCTTCAGAAACATTTCTCTTTTCCCTTCGCTCCTTTGTCATCGGGAGATTCCCGTTGTTTGATGAAACTTTTTAATTAGTCGCTGTCAGAAATGATAGCGTAAGAATAGACAGTAGACGGATAAGAAAGACCAGCACGATAAATGATTGCGTGCATATCCTATTATCCTGGTGGAGAGACACTTCCGGGACACGAATCGATTTCAGTGTTACCGCTAGATCGATAACTGGAGAAAAGGGAGCATACGTGCCAAGCACACATAATCGAATCGGCCGAATCAATATGGATCGAATGGAGTGGCCTCGACAATCTAAGCACGTCCACAAAGGTCAATTTGCATTGAATTCTACGAAAGATCATTCTTCTCGATCACGATTTGCAATTTAACAAGCATATTTTCTGACAATGACTCAAAGTAATGAAATATAATAAATGATATTTTGTTTATTCAGCTTTCGTGATAATGGATATAAAATGTCTTTACAAAAATTTCAATGTTAACTGATAAAACTTCTATCATATTTTTATTTCTATAAAAGGCGGTATCGTAAATATTGCGTAGGTACTGTATATTTTTAAGTGATAACGATAAAATGATTACACAAAAAAAAAAAAGAACGAAGAAAGTTCCTAAAAGCCGATCTTTTTCGCCGTGACGAGACCTGCGAAAGAATGCAGGCAGAGACAATGACGTTGCAAAACCATAAATTACGAGAGAGACCGGTGGTCGGTTAATTATAATGATCCTTAAAGCTTTCATTGCTAGAAGCGACGCCGCGTGCTGTACTATAAGGCGGACAGTAGATACTTAAGATGTAATACTTTTCCGCCTTCGGTGATGCCGGCAGCGCATTAAATCGCTTCACTGTGTTTTATTGCGTCGAATTAAAGGCTAGCGATTAATGTCGGACCTCGCGTTTCCATAGCATAAACGCGTAGAACGCGCGGAGCGTACGCTCGGGGAATATGCGCATTCATAGCGTACGTCAAATGAATTTCGTCGGACGTATGTACGCGCTCGCGCGCGCGCGCGCGCGCGTACCTGCACAAGAAGAACGAAACGGTTAATGAAGGTCTGAAAGAGAATTTCGCAAGGCGGCCATAATTCATTTTCGGGAGAACAGCGCGCGTTCTTCATTTTTGACCCTTCTCATTTGTAACGGTCCCGCAATTATCATGGCGCGAACTTTTTGTCGTCTTCGCTCTTCTTTTTTTTTTTTTTTTTTACAAAAAAAAACGATTCGGCGTCCAATGCGTCCTCTCGACCGTTCCCGTCAAAAACCACGCATTCCTCGATTATTAATTATGCACAGC